AAATTCACTCAGAAGCTTCTTCAGGTACTTGAAGAATCATCTGTGCTGTGTCTTCTACAACACACGTTATTGCCACACAGCTGACACATCGCAGCCCTCCTTAGCTATGCAAATAACAGAATATATAGAAGTGCAGTAAGACAGCTTTCTGTTTAACATACCCATCTGTCTCATATTGTATCTCTACTATACCCACAGGAGAGAACGCTTTGTGGCTTTGCGTGCAACAGCAACGGGAGCCATGACACCCGGAACATCACAAGAGCGACACAACTCCTACATGCACAGCTTTCAACACAACTACGTGGTGACGACAGGGTGTTGGCGGAAGTTGGTGGCAGCGATGAGCATGCAGCAAGGATATTCAAGTACATGTTCATCCACTTGAAGCTCCCATGATGCCTGAACAAAAGGTTACTGGCTATAACCAGACTGCTGGGTAGGGTACTGTTCATTAGAGGAGCTGTGCGTTCACCATGCTTGCCCCAAAAATTTGCCACTGCAACTTTATTCACAGCGCTGTGTTAACATCACATCTTCATAAACAGCACTGCCACACATGGAAGAAAGCCCTTCTGCAGGCAATTCCTATTAAAGCTCACGTTAAGCATTTCTTATGACACAAATTGGCAGGGTGCAGAGAAGCTGTGGGCTTGAACAGTGAGCCTCACCAAAATACTCGAGTGGTGGGACGTATGAATGCACATGGGTAGCCTTACATATTACTAATTGCGCCGATGGGCAGGGGACACCCACTGTTGTTCATTTGATGGATTAATATAAAATTCCATGACCTTAAGAACTTTAAATAAACAGAATCAGCAACGAGTATATTTGTTCTGGACTGAGAAGTACCAACTTTATTTAGAATATTTGTAATTAAAGTTAATATTATCCAGGTGCTAAGCTATTTAACATCACTTGTTCCTAGCACAAAACCTCAAAGCTGCTTCTTTTTTAAAGCCTGTGAACTGTATTTGGTAGTGCAAAGATGGGAATTCTGTGATCCCACTTGCTTAAACTATTTAATAACCTGCCTACATTTTCCACATATCAATAAATGAAGTGGAATACAAAATGTAACATCTGTTTCCTCCACTGTTTAACATAAGGGGGTCAGATTCTAAACAAATACATTTAGGAAGTCTTTTTAGGAATTTGTTAGGCTGAATTCAGCTAATCAAGACAGCAAAAATCTTGTGTATTTCCAGAGTGACCTCTTTGTTTGACCTGAAAATTGTGTATATTATTTTAAGTTTCTGCACATGCAAAATCTACATGATGAAAGTCCCGGTCTTTCCTTTCCTTTTCTCTTTCTTTTCTTTACAAAAAAACTTTTATTTTAAAAAAGCAAACGCGTGTTTGGGAAACTCAGCACAGAAAAGGCTTCAGATGTGCATTTGTAACACAAACAAATGCTTCTCTGCAATCAGCAGTTAGAAGCAAAGGTGTGAAACATCCCCAAGATTTCAGCAGTGTTATGCTTTGATTAAATACTCATTTATCAATTTACCTAACTTTTAGTTTCCTAATCGACAATAAATCAAGTAAATTCGTTCATCAGTTTATTATTGAATATTCACCTTGATAAAGCCAGAAGATCCAGCACTCAGACTACAAAGATATCTTTTTCCCTTTTCATTTTTCCAAGTCATATCCTAACTGCCAGAAGAATAAGGCTTTAATGGCTAATGAATATAAGTTAGGAAAATATTTCATTTCTTTTATAACTATGGAATAGTTTAACAAAAACAGGGAAGATATGCATACGTACCCATAGACACCAGGATAAACTTTATTTCATCAGATGATGATTTCCTAAATTATCTCATTCCAAAATACAGAAGTACCATTACATTTTATTCTCTAGTGCATAATACAGTTTTGAACACTGCTGCACACTGATGAAGAAGATATTTCTTCTGGAGAGTTTGATGGAAAACAAATCAAATAAAAAAAAAAAACTAACTGAGAAATGACCAAAACTCAGTCTGATACTGCTTCCCAACAGACTGCAGAGCTAGACACAGCACACTGGCCAGAGTTCACTGACCAATTCTCACAGTCCCATCAACCTAAGAGGACATGGTGCCATTTTTCTGCCAAGAGCACTTGGCAGGAATAAACCACTTGAAACTTTTCTTTCTTTTTAATTGCTTTTGCTGCCTCTTTCCAATGACATTCCACAGACCAGTAACATAATTATGTCATATTAAATTATAATTATTCTTCCCAAAACTTTGGGTCTGCAGTCTCCCAAGAATGAATCCTGCCATTCTCTTACTCATTATCTCTGTAACATCTCTCATAGATGAGGCATGCTCATGACTCTAGGGCCACGTGAGTATGCCAGACACCCACCTGCTAGCCTCAACATATCCAGTCACTGAAATATTTCCAGAGACAACACCACATTGGAAATGTATTTTCTGCTTTTACTTCCTTCTGCATCACAAGTGTCTTTATCCTCTAAAATAAATTCCCAGATTTCAATAACCTCTCCAGCTTGTGTTTTCTGACCTACATCTGTCAAGTTCCTGTCACCAACTCCAAGCATTTTAAAAATCACCTTTTCCACTGTTTTTTCCTTCAGCTCTCAAGAAAACTATGATTCTCCTCCCTGGATCACAACGATTTCTTCAACATAATTTGAAAAACAGTAGCAGAAAAGAAACCTAGTACAGTAGCAGCCAGCTGCTTGGATTTGCGATCAGATGATATTCCAGCAGCTTAGAGTTGCATGCAAGTTCTCATGTGATAGAGTAGGAAGTCAGCATGTTTTTTTTCCAGAATGAGTTGTCTATTATCAGTGCTGCTAACATAGATCAGTGTTTCAAAAGATGCAACAAAAGACAAATGAGGACTGAATGGACGTTTTAGAGACTGAAAATGTGCACTGGGACTAAAGGCTGATTGTAAAGGGACACAATTGTCCACGGGCATTTGAAAAAGGGAATAGTTTTAGTTGGTTTACATTTATGCAGGGAAAAAAACAAAAAATTTAGAACAACCACCAAAGGAAGTTTCTCGAGCACGAAATCCATGAGATTTTGTTAAAACTTGCCCGTTGTCCCTTTCTATGTCCGATGCTTATTGTATCCTGTCAACTTACGGAGCAGCATAGCCTAAAGTACAATTATGTACTAGCAGAAGAAATTAGTAAATGAACTAAAAATGACGTCCCAAAATTTAATCTGAAGATTGACGATTAAACAGCACCACCTAGTTATAAAAACAGGAACAGCTGTATCTCTTGTTCTCTCAAGTGCCAGCTCAACATACACTCCAGTAGTGAGCTCTAGCACTACTGCATAAACAGAGTAATATCACCTTTTAACCCTTCATTTCTCCAAACAGTTATACAAAGACAGAACTTACCAAGCAGGCAAATTTTCACATCAGACTTATTCGTGAGGAAGAGCCAATAATTTTTCCATAATCAGTAAACAGATCGTTCAAGTTGCGCATTTGTAACAAACTGTGTAATTCAGCGAGTTGGATAAAACTGTGTCTATTCAGAACATACTAACAGCAGGAAAACTGGCGGTATTTTCCTATTTTAGGAGACATTCATTTTCTTCACATCAGCTCTTGCAATATGTGAAAGGAATTATTTTCAAGCTGAGCGAGCCTGGATCTCAGACAGTTCCGAACTGCAGATAGGAAGATACTCCCTCAAGGGCCTGATCTGCCTTCCTTTCTCAGCTTGTTAGGGAAGGAATGAAAAGGCTGGTCTCTGTGACAGCATAACCCTTTTACCACTAAACGGGAAAGCATACGGGAGCGTCTCTGTTGAAGGCAAGAGACTGTTGATTTTACCCTCCCAAAATTCCAATCCTAAAAGTTAACATCGTGTCACTTTTGCTGCAGAATGCTATAGGCCATTAAAGTCATGCAAGCTTTAGATAAAAATCAGTTTTTAAAAAACTGTCTACTAAGACTGTCTACCATGGTTTTAGTCCCTCAGGGACATTTTTTTCCTCTCTGAGCTTTGCTAATAATCTCATAATATCATTACTCATTGCCAAATAATTGTATCTGGTAATGCAAAAAGAGGCAGTCAAGCGGTCAAGGTTTCAAAATCTGCCAGTGATGTCAGACAACTATCTGATAAAGCTCAATGCCCAGCACTTTGTGAGAAGCTTGACTCTTGAGATCTGAGTTTCAGCAACTTAAAAAAAAAAATGTGTTGTATGTAAAATTATAGATCACTACCAAAAAAACGTAGCCGTAAAAACATACAACACTGACCTAACACACACACACACACACACACACACGAGAGACAGATAAACAGTCATGAGATTGGGTATAAAGATTCAAAAGTTTGTGAAAAACACTTGCCTTCCCAAAACTTTATGTACTTGTCTACATCTTTAAAAGAGCGCTCTGCACTACTTTCCTCATTGCCTCTTCATCAACACATCAAACTAGTGAATGATTTAGAAACCTTTCAAACAGCCAATGGATCTGAAAAAAAAAAATCAATCTAAAATGTTCTGGCCTTCGCTGCTACTTGTAACAAAAGTTTGCAAAGTTGAAAGAGCAAAGGCTCTCCAGTTGTGACAGCAGAACATTGAGATTGTTTTCGGTTTGTGATCACTGGACATTTGTCCTGGAGGGATAGATGTAATGCTATCGACCACAGATCTGCTTTTCTTACCATCCATAGACCCTTTAGAAATCAGACTTCATTCCAGAAAAAAGGGTAGGCTAAAGAAGACTTCTCAAAAAAATGCTCTGAAATATATATATTAAAAAAAAAAAAAAAAACCACACCCACAGCACCAATAAAAAAAAAAACCATAGTACAAACAAATAAAGACAGAACACAGAAAACTTAACACTATCTGAGAGACAAATGCAAAGAAAAAAAAAGCGTAACAGATCAAAGAGGAAAGTTTGACAAAAAAATGGAAAAAAACAGTTAAGGTGGAGGAAAAAAGGTCATTATTAAAATATTTAATTTCACAATTCTTGCAAGGCCATTAGTGTCTTACCTTCTCTGCAGTCTTTGATGATTTTTGAGATGCCTCATAATCTTTCTTTGTTTCTAGGATTCTTTTCACAAGCCCACCTGGTGAAAATCAGTATATTTTTCAGCTTTGGCTGGCAATGAAATACTGTTCTAAACATTCAGACAATAAAATCAAAACCCAACTCCTTTTTTTAATTTTTAGAGCAACATTAACTGCATTCTATTATGCACCTATATTATTCAGTTACAAGGTACTTATTATACGATCTATTTTCCCCTTTAAATCAAACTGTACCAAACAGTATAGTCTATAGAATGTCTTTTGGTATAAAACAGACTCAGGAGCTATAGCAAAGGCTTTTCCTTTGCACTCCTCTTTTGAAAGGATTCAGAACTGCCCATGATATACGTTAGAATCATCTGAACTCAGTGCGGTCTTCCTTTACCAAAAATTTTTGGCTGTGGAGGCGTATCTGAGAAACACGTCTGTTCGAATCACATCCAGTGTGACCATAACAGCTTGAAGCCTCTGCATCAGAGATTTGAGGTCATAAGCAAGCATAAATATTGTTAAGAACTGGTCCATAAGTTTTTCTGGAAGCTCTTGTACAACTTGCCTTGAACAGCCAATCTCATCTCATATCTAAGAGCTGACTAGGGGTACCTGACAGTAAGAAAAATCAATTTAGCGGTTTCATGCAGCATTTTAAACCCTACAGACATTAGGAAATGTATATTCAACATCAATTTCAAATCCTGCAGCTCAGCCAAGTAGGACTACTTTTCCTGAATAATTTCTATTTTTTTTGAGGCTGTATTTTGCTACTTTATTCAGCACTTTTTCAATGCTCAACACTTGGTTTAAAGTTGTGGGAGTTTTTTTAATATAAAAACAAAACATAAACGAAAAAGAAAACATACCATGCTTTTCATGTTCAATCAGCTCCACTTCTGGCTCCTACACACACATGAAGAGAGCTTTAGTTGCAAAAAGTTGGCATTGCTTTAATATATAAGTTCTCAAAAAACATTCAGCTAGAAAACAGCTAAACAAATAAGTAATAGACAACGAATGCTGTCTAAAAAAGGTGCTACAACTTGCAACATTAACAGACCGTTTCCATCTCTGGCATTTCTGGCAACGGCAGTGCTGCCTCCACCACAAACTGGTCATCGTTATCATCAGAATTTTGGTCGTCTGTGATCAAATTTGAGACTGTTTTACCACTGCTATTCCTGAAAGACATACAGTGAACATGAAACCCTATTTAAGGGATTTAAGAGGGGTCCACATACCCAAAACAGAAAAGACAGCAGTTCCCTCTCCCTCCCAAAAAGCACACCAAATTCTGTCATTTTCAGTCACAGCCCAGCTCTGAAAGCGTTTCAGCCTTTTTGGAGCATATAACATGCATTTGCATGTTTTACAAATCTCTTCTAGAAGTAGTTTTGATTATCATTCTATATGCTTTTCTGTTTCAGAGCTCACAATGGCAGGAAAGTTAAATTTTATTTTTGAATTCCCAAAAGTCATGACAAACTGTAACTTGTAGATAACGCACTGTATTTGCGGAAACAATAAAACCAGTAAAGCAGGATTGAATTTTCCAGTCTGAATCAATGAGCAGTGGGTCAATCTATCCTAGTACTGTTCAGCAGCAGGTAACACACAGAAGATCTGAAAATACCATGGCATGAGAGCTAGAATTATCTGCTCTGCATCTCTCACACCTGTCCTTACCTTTTTGGAAGTAAGGCCTCTGGGCTTTCTTGATGTTTTATTCGTGGTGGTGCTGGTCTTGCGCTGCCAGGACGAGGAATTTGTCTGCAATAAATGAAGAGGTCTTTTCACATATACTATAATATGAAGCCTCACATGTCCCCCAAGGAACAGATACATACTTATCAACAAACCGAGCAACTCAGCCAATGCATAAAAACAACACTAAAAACAGCCCAGTGTATAATCCAGTATAACAACAATACTTGCTTTCATAGTAGAACAAAATCTAGAAATTGGGTCATAAGTCAAAAGATTATGATTTTATTGTGAAAGAACCTTTTTACTTGTCTCACTGGAAAAAAAAAATGGATTCAGTACAATTATTTAGCACTAACAATAAGTTTAACATTAACAATGCACACTGCAATGTAAACAAAAAAATTTGTCTTTCATCAGTGATGTTCCTGATTCAATTACACAAGCCTTGTTGGATAAAGAAAAAGTAAATCTGGACTTGAAAGGCAAGTTCATCTTATCCGTAACACCACACTTACAAAATGCATGTATATGATGCAATGTTCCTCTCATAATTTCAGTCTCCACGTGTACTTCTTATTTTAATAATATTGTATCGAAGCACTTTGTGGATCAAGAAAAGTAAGTCAGAAAGATTTTAACAATTTTAAAAGTTTTCTTTATAAAAGGAAATGAAAGTGAATAAAGTGAACAAAGTGAACCATATATGGGATAATATTTATTATTTGGTATAATGAGCAGAAACATACTGCTCCAGCTTTCCTTGTTATTTTCAAATGGATGGTTTTCTTCCCCCAGATGTGTCATAATTTGATTCAGATAGAACAAAGGATAGGACAAACCTTTGGATAACCTGAGGTGGAAGATCATTAGGTACTTTGCCATTTTCAGATGCTGCAGGCTTTTCAGGAGCTATGTTCTCTGCTTCTCCGTCTATTAAATGAAACAAACATGTAATTTTGGCTTAACTGTCAACTTAGTAAGAAAAGTTACATTTGCCTTCAGCAGTATTTGAAATGTTACCAGCGCTATAGTTGAATATGGGCTAACAAAACGCATCACATGACAAACTTTTTCATTAGAAATAAATTTCTATAAGCTTATATAAAATTTTAGTACCTTGTCAACTTTCAGTTTTCAAAAATCCTAGAGTATTCACAATGCAAAAGGGTCACTGCAAAAGCATTTAAACCTTCTTAATTATTATTTTTTTTAATATCGTGAAATTCTCTAAACTGTAAAAATGACTTCACCAGCTCACTCAGTTCTGCAAATGTCCCCTTGTAACTTCGAAAATGTTTGAAGCTGTTCATTACACAGAATCAGGAAAAAAAAACCAATGCTAATTAAAGACTATACTCAATACACTGCATCTTTTAAAATTGTTTTTTTCCTAATTTTTTTCAATCTATGATTCTAGGATTATTGTTTGTTTTGTAATCTCTTCATAGTTACAATCTCAGTAGAGTTGACCCCACTTGCTATTTAAATCAGATGGAACCAGTTTATCCTCTTCTCAGATAACAATTTTCTCACAAAGTTACTCTGACTGGTCCCTCAAATGAACCCATACCTTCTAAGTTCAGTTTAGATTATTCTCTGTAACGGCAGAGAGAAAGAACAGATGACATCCTTGCCTTGACAGTCTAAATACACAGGATTACAAGATATCATTTCCCAATTTCTGCTTTTGCATTTCCACATTCTGGAAGGTAAAAAGCATTCAGCATTTTTGGATCCCATTTACAGAACTTGCCTAGATGAATAGTCTCCTAGTAAGTATTTCTTCCATGCAATGCCACACAAAGAAAAGACTTTTCTTCTAACATGTTTCTTCCATTCCAGTGTCCCTACACTCCGAAATCTCAAAAAAATGGCACCATTAAAAGAAAAAGGCTGACCCAGCTGGCCTCTGACACGCCTAAATTTAGTCAAAGAAATAAATATCCATTTCATCATAGTCTAATGTATTTCACTTTCCTAATGGGTTTCGGTGTATTGTCTGAACAGTCATTGCATTGGTAGGTCCTTCCCATTTTAAACTACAGAATACTATATTAAGTTTAAAGGAACTGATGTTTATACAGTCTACTAAATCTGCATACAGTCTACCATAGAATAATGGAAAATACATAAATACGTTTCACAGAATTACAGAATGGTTGAGGTTGGAAGGGCCCTCTGGAGATCATCTAGTCCAACTAGTCTACTCAAGCAGGGTCATCTAGAGCACATTGCCCAGGACCCTATCCAGCTGGCGCTTGAGTATCTCCAAGGATGGAGACTCCACAGCCTCTCTGGGCAACCTCTTCCAGGGCTCAGTCACCCTCACAGGAAACAAGTTTGTCCTCCTGTTCAGATGGAACTTCCTGGGTTTCAGTCTGTGCCTCTTGCTGTTGCCTCTTGTCCTGTCGCTGGGCACCATGGAGAAGAGTCTGGTTCTGTCTTCTTTACATACTCCCTTCAAACACTTACACACATTGATCAGATCGCCTCTCAGTCTTCTCTTCTCCAGGCTCAACAGGCCCAGCGCTCTCAGCCTTTCCTCACAGGAGAGATGCTCCAGTCCCTTCATCATCTCTGTAGCCCTCCGCTGCACTCCCTCCAGCAGTGCCATGTCTCTCTTGTTCTGGGGAGCCCAGAACTGGACACAGTACTCCAGAGGTGGGGCCTCAGCAGGGCTGAGGAGAGGGGCAGGATCACCTCCCTCCACCTGCTGGCAACACCCTGCCTAAGGCAACCCAGGATCCCACTGGCCTTCTTGGCCATAAGGGCACGTTGCCGCCTCATGGTCAGCTGGGTGGCCACCAGGACTCCCAGGTCCTTCTCGGCAGAGCTACTTTCCAGCACATCAGCCCCCAGCCTGTACTGGTGCATGGGATTATTCCTCCCCAGGTGCAGGACCCTGCACTTGCCTTTGTTGAACTTCAGGAGGTTCTTCTCCGCCCAC